ACTGGATGATGTATTGTCTAATGTTTCCCTGCAGTTTACTCACTCAAATACTATTATTCTAACTCTAGAGGATGTCTCCCTCAAGATTCACTGTTCAGATGGTGTTACCACAGCACAAAGTCATTTGTAATGAACATCAGACTGGACATCCTGTTTGTGTGAGTCACAGTGACTCAGACAGCAACATCAGCACCCCTGCTATAGAATAACAGATTCACATGAATGTTCCTCACTAAAGGGATTCCCAGCCTATAGCAAGGGTGTTTTTTTTTTTTTTAGAAAACCCACTGCGAAGATATGAAACAGTTACCACAGCTACCTGATAGTGCCAAAACCCTGCTAAAGGGGAATTGGTGCAGATACTGGAGAGAACAGGAATGTATGAGATGGAGAAATGAGATGCTGATTAAAATGTAGAACAGAAATCCAAATGCTGGAGGCTGGGGGTTGCACTGTTTGTTATCTTGGCTGACTCAATGTATCACAGGGCATCTTAGTTCCAATTGGATGATTGTTTCATCATTATTCAATTACAATAGATGCCATTTTTAGATTCACAGAATGGGGTTTATCTAATAAGGACAACGTTGAAAAATTAATTTAAATTGGAATTTATATTGTGCCAATGAAAAGATGCATTTGTTTTTGCTCACATTACCAGAAGCCATGTAGTCAAAACTGGTTTTGGCTTCTTGAAATGCCAAACAAGCTTTAATGCTAAAATTAGATTAATAACTAAAGATAAAGCCAAATTTGGATAAGGGACAGCTTAAAGCAACAATCTTGGAAAAGTATACCTATAGTAAAAGCACATCCACTTCTGTATTTAACTTTATTTATTTTGAGAATTTGTGTTAATCAAATGGGATTATCTTAGTAACCATAAAAGGTAGATTGCCCTTTAGGCAATGATTCCTGTCCTCATGTTGAAAACTGTAATATATTATTGCACATGGTTAGATCAAGGTATAGACATTTCAGTTTTCATTAAAAAAAAAATAAATAATGATAAATAAATCCAAAATGCAAATTTCCAAGAAACAAGGGAAAGTCATTGTGTAGAGACAGTTAAAATGGGGATTCACTCTGGGTTGCATGCTATACTGTATATGTCAATTCAAGTCACATTTATTTATATAGCACTTTAAACAATACTGATTGTGTCAAAGCAGCTTTGACACAATCAGAGCTGTACAGAGCAGTAACCAGTGTTGGGCAAGTTACTTCCAAAATGTAATACATTATATATTACTAGTTACTGTCTTTTGAAAGTAATCAGTTACATTACAATATTACTGTCTCTGAATTGTAATGTGTTGCACTACTTTTGAGTTACTTTCACCAAAATAGCCACAGAAGTATTATAAAATGCCAAAATGTAGTTTATTGCTGCTCATTCTACATCCAGTGGAGGGTAATGTGGTAGATCTATATAGCATAAAATTATAAAATCATATTTAGATACTAGTATGTAGGTCTACATTAATGTCATGTTGTAGTTTAGGTTAAACACTCTATAGCACAAACCGCATTATTACACCGAATTAATTATTCTTAAAAAAACTATTACTGTAATTCGCCAAAAGGGTTTTTTCATGTTCCAAAGGCTGTAGTACGCTTGTAGTAACACGACTGATTTACTATAGGTGAAATTTCGCCAATTTCTTTCTTACTGTACATACAGTCCATAATTATTCTTGGAAAACAATTACTGTAATTGCCCAAAAGGTTTTTTTTTTATTTTCCAAAGATTGTAGTACATTCCTAGTGACCATACTGACTTACTACACATGACATTTTGCCAATATCTCCCTTACTGTATGTACAGTACACAACTATTTTCTTTAAATAATTACTATAATTCACCAAAAGGGTTTTTTATGTTCCAAATGTTGTAGTACATCACTAGTGGCCAGACTGACTTACTACATGTGAAATTTTGCCAATATCTCCCTTACTGTATGTACAGTACATAATTATTCTTAGAAAACAATTACTGTAATTTAACCAAAAGGCAAGGGAGGCAGTGTCTCCTCAAAAAATTGGATGAGAAAATAATCTATATTACAAACATACAAATATATTACTAAATATGGCATTAAAAGTATAAAAGTCACTCATTTTTATAAAGTAACACTGTCAAACAGCGACACCCGCAGGTAAAGTTACAGCGGAGGCTTGCCTCCCTTCGCTCCATAGACTTTCTACAGAGACCCTAAAGCAGGGATCCTAAAATCTGGCCCACGAGATCCACTTTCCTTTAGAGTTTAGCTCTAACCCTAATCACACACACCTGAGCGTGCTAATCAATGTCTTCAGGATCATTAGAAAATCACAGGTAGGTGAGTTTGATCAGTGTTGGAGCTAAACTCTGTGGCGCATTGGCCCTCCAGGGCAAGATTTGAGGAATCCTGCCCTAAAGCGTGCCGTGCCTTTTCTGGAGTCTCATCGAGATGAATGGGAAAAAGTCACGTGAGAGGAGGCAATGCCTCCGTCGTGCTATTATTGGATATTATCGGTTATGATTGGATGTGATTGGTTCCAGCAATAAATCCCGCCTCTTTTTTTGTGCGAGCTCTCGTCCTGAATGAAGAAAATTATGGTGTTATTGACTAATTATATAGTAAGTAAACAACTCTCCTGCTTAGATACCACTACTTTGTGTCACGTCAAAATAAAACTTGAAATGGTCGGAAAACGTGATGACTGTGTCAGTTTTTAGTGAGCATTCAGCGTGATGAAATGAAAGATATATCTTCGTGTCTGTTGCAGTGTTTACAGAGCTTTTATGACGATGACCCGAAAATAAGTTGACTATTAAAAAGAACAGCTGAACATCAGTTCACAAATAAAAAATATTGGTAACATTTTACAATAAGGTGTCATTTAATGGATTAATTAACATGAACAAACAATGAACATTTGTTATAGTATTTATTAATATTTGTTTACATTAGTTAATACAAATACAGTTGTTCATTGTTAGTTCATGTTAGTTCACAGTGCATAAACTAATGTTAACAAACAACTTTTGATTTTAATAATGCATTAGTAAATGTTGAAATTAATATTAACTAAGATTAATAAATGCTGTAGAAGTAGGCTATTGTTTATTCTTATTTCATGTTAACTGAAGTAGTTAACTAATTCATTAGTCCCCTTAGGCGGGACTAATGAAATCTTATTGTAAACTGTTTCCAGAATATTGTTCAAATTGTTACTGCCTTTAGTTATTATTTTGGAATAAATATAAAAATGCATAAAACACTATGGAATGTATAATTAGTATTAAAAATATTAAGTAACATACAAAATAATATTAATAAAATACAAAAATATAATTATATTTGTTCTCTTTTTTATGTAATATTTATTTACCCAG